TTATTTCAGTACAATCAAATTACAACAACTTACACACTTAACAAGCAGAACAAAGTTTACAAATGAGGACAGACTAAACAGAACAGTCAAATAAAAACATGTAATAATTTTTATGTTTTCGCCCGTCTTGAGTGAAAATAAACTTCATCATTTTTTAGAGAATCTTGCAAAAATATAAATAAAAAAAAACTAAATTCAAGATACTGAATGGACTTTTAAGAGCAAATATGTCTAGAAGGGAGGGAACTCAATTTGAGCCGTGCACTTCCCCCTTGGAAAGACTGGGCACTCAATCAGATTAGTAGCAGACGTATCCACACACATGTAAACTTGATACAGTTGCCTGTTCCTTCCTTCATCCGCATTGCACTCTATCCATGGAGTGAAACCTGTAGCTTGCTTTATTGCATCCTTGATGCTGCTCACACTGTAATATCCACCGTCAGGCTTTATCCCTGTAAACATTTTATAATTCATTGTTAAATAAAGTTTGATTAAAAAATAATCATGACATTGTGATCTTAGATAGTTGACCTGCATCATTAAGAATTTGGAGGAGGTCGATTTTCTTCTTGAGATCGAGTGCTGCTTGGAAGTAGGCGTGTTGGTTGAGGGCAGACTCGGAGCAGGTGCCATGCTTCTCCCATTCATGTTCCCAGAAATGGGTTCCATCGCTGCTGGGGCAAGCTAGGGTTGGCCATTCTTTTCTTAAGCTATCGATCAGGTCATTAACCTGAAAATTATATTTGAAAATAATTGCAGTAGGTATTCAGTTACAATAAATTTACAAGAGAAAAAAGAAAAAAAATCTTATGTGCAATGTGATAGACTTGGGAGCTATTCAGCCAATGTTAGATAAGTAGTTTTGATATGAAAATAGCAGTGTTTTAAAAATTACAATGATTTATGTAATGGTGCTAACTATTGATCAATGAGGTGTTACAGCTTCAAGATAATGATCATACAGTTTTGTCTTATTGTTATAAGATTTCGAAAGGTTACTGATCCTAGAGTAGTAGAGTTGCTCCAATATGAATATGCTAACTTATATTTCTAAATGAAAATTCAATGATTGCAATGAATGTTGTCTGGATATTTAAGAGTTCCATATTACTTAAAGCATAATCTTGCCTCTTCAATGACTAACATCCTCTGCAATATTCTTATACATACTTCCCATTTTTTTGGCTAATATAATATTCTGATATCATTTGTTATAAATGAAACACTTAATCATTGAGATATGGTTAGCTTTGGCATACCAGTTTCATAATTTTGTTTTGTTAGTATAATTTTCCAGGAGTTAACCCATCCCATGTATGCTCATAAGAGGCCCGACATAAAATCATGTTAGAGTTACTAATAAAATGTAAACCATTAAGCCAAATTCAATCTAAAGAAATATTTAACAGGTTGGCTTCATTCTTTTTCATTTGAATGGTTTTAAAATATCTATGAAAAGTAATAGATTTGGTTTGATGGTACTTTGTTTAGATATTGTCATGTTATGTAGACTAATTAATGATAATTAAAATTTCTCACTTTCAATATTAATGATCAAATAACTTTACTTGAAGATTTTGTTGACTATAAGATAGTATTAATAATCTTAAAAAGATATTTAAGGGCATTTAATACTCTTTGCATGTAGAATTATAGATCAAATGAATGGACGAACTTATAACAGTATAAGCACCTTTGTACAAAGCATACATGTATTTCTCACATCACATAACTATTTGGACCTTGTGAGCAAACAATCAACCTTACATCTTACTTATTCATGTAGATGATTTCTTATTCATGATATAAAAAAAGACTTCCATACAACACATCACTCTCATTCCTTGAAGATTTATATGAATATTAGTCTTAATTATGGCTTTAAGAATACTTAACATACAATACAATGCATAATAACTATGTAAAATCATGCATCAAATATAACAATAAATGTTCTCAGGCAAACTTGAATCTATAAACCTTATGTAACACACTTATATACATCTCATTCCATCATGTTTTGCATTCATTACTATGTTGATAGTCATGGCACACCACCACCCCAAGTGGCACATGAATCATAAACTATAAGTCAAGACATAAATGAAAATCATCATATACCTATATTTATAGAGTATAGAGTTATGTGATACCCGTATACTATGCTCATGTTATTGTTAGTAAATCTTGGTTATATAGTTTAAATGTTACTCATTCTAGGTGGTCAAATACTTAGATTCATAGAATAAGGGTGGATTTGAGGCTTACGAAGCCTGTGGTGAATCAAAATCTATTTAAAATTTAATGCTCTCAGTAATAAACAAAAAAAAAATAATTCTAAATAAAGATAAATTTAAAAAAAAATATATAGAAAAAATCAATATAATTTAGACTATTGAATAATAGCATAACTAAATCTGAAACTTTATTTGATTATATAAATTAAGAATTAGGTGATGTTGAAGAAATCTGTCTTGATAAATTTCCTAATAAAATAATATAATTAAAGAACTTACGACATGTTAATGATTTAGTTCATAGATTATTCATGCCTAATTCTTTACACTATAGAACAAATCTAACATAACATGATAAATTTAGAAGACAAGTTGATGGATGACCTTAAAAATAACTCGTCAAAGAAAACTTGAGTCTTTGGATTGTATCTATTTTACAAACACCTAAAAAAGTTGATAGTTGGAGGATGTGTATAGGCAATATTGTCATCAATAAAATTATCATCAAATACAAACTTCTTATATCTCAATTAGATTGGAGATTAAAAATGAGGAATGGTATTGTGATATTATTTTAGAATGAATTGTGAAATATGTATCACCAAGTTAGAATGAGGGAAGGCGATGACTGAAAATTAATTTTTATTATAAAAAACAATTATATGAATGTTTATTGATATCTTTTAAATTAACCAATGTTGCTAACACTTTCATGAGGATAATGAATATATCAATTGACCTTTCAATATAAAAACTTATTATGATTTTTTAAAATGATACTCTAACATACATCAAGATATAAGCTGGTTATTTATCTCATCTCATAAAAGAATTTAAAGCTTTAAAAGAAGAAAAATTATGTCTAGTTTATTATGCAACTTTAATTACAATTTAATTGAAAATGAAAGAAATCAAGTGATTTGTTTGATAAAAGGTTGTGCATCTGGAGACGAGTTAATATCACGTACGATTGATTTTATATAAAATTTACTTTAAAAAAGGTTTATTTAAATGGGTTCATGCAAAATTATCATAGGGTATTAACCTAGAAAGCCTATAAATCTTGTTGACCTATCTATAAAATTCAAGCCTGACATATTTATACAACATATAGATGATTTGCATGAGAATATTCATAAGAAATGGGCTTTGAATTTCATAATTAAAATATTTTTTTGCAAAAATCTAATAAGACATGTAACTTTTAAAGTTAGTAATAAGACCGTGATGCATCTAAATTCAAAAAGGTTTTTACATGAACACTTTATGAAATTAAATGCAAAGAAGGAGCAATCAATTAATATTGTGCAAAGTTTAAAACTAATGGTTTCGAATTAAAAATTTTTAGAAACTAAATCAATATTTCAACGTATCAAATTGGACATCACATAATAAGCAAATTAGTAATTTCTCAAACTAATAAACTTTTTCACATATATTTTTGTGAGCAAACACCCAATCCTTCAATAGATATTACTATGCAACTTATTTATGAGACTATTTTAAATAATGAAACTATCCCTATAAATTTTTTATAGTGTATTTAAAAATATTTTATTCATCAGTTGGCATAACGCTATGCTAGTCAATGATGTTTCATCAATTACTCTATAGCTGGCCCATAAACGATGTCATGATTTTTTTTTTTTTT